AGCGGGGGAGGGCGGGAGCAGCCCCGTCGGCTGGGTGCGGTGTGCGGCGGGCGTGGCCTGGGGAGACTCAGCCGCCGACATGCCCGGGATAGACAAGCTGCCTATCGAGGAGGCGCTGGAGGACAGTCCTCAGGTGAGGGGGCCGAGCGGCAGCAGGTGGCGGGCGGAGGGGGGCCGAGCCCGGTCCTCTCTGCCCCGTTCCAGCCCTGGGGAGAGGGGCTTCCTTCGCCCTTCGCGGTTCGGAGGCCTGAAGCAGCCTGTTGCGCCGGGCCCGCTCCCGGGAAAGGCGAGGAGGGCTCATGCCACCCGGGCGGGCGAGGGGAGAAGATGCATGGCAGACGGTCTTTCCTGCGGGTTAGGAGTCCTCCTTAAAGCCGGTCAGCAGGTCGAGGATGCGTTACGCGATCTCGCGTGTAAAGGTGCGGATTCCTTTGAACGAGGTTGGGGAGCAGCAGGAGGGAGCCGCGGCTCTTCCCTGCGTGGCTCTTGTGTGACAGCGGGGTTATATTGCTGCAGTGCTTCACTAGCATTTTTCTTATCTCCACCGAAATCAAGGGAGCGCTATAAAAAGGGCAGTCTGTTTCTGTCATTATATTGTGTAATTATTTCAATGGCTGTCTCGGATTCCTTACCACACCCTTCTTCACCCAAATTCAAGCAGATGAGTTTGTCGGTAGCTTTGAAGCAATAATTTAAGGTACAGGATTAATGAACTTGTCTCGTCCTGAAACCTGTTTGTATTTGTCAGTACTGTGCACATAATTATTTGGAATTACCATATTTAAGTGTCTCTGAGTATTTAGGATTGAATATACGGTGCAATTAAGAATTCCTATTTTCTACTGATATTATCTGAATTTATATAAGTAGTGGTTTAAAAAAAGACAATTTCTGTCTTATTCATTCTCCAAGAGAATAGTGAAGATGTATAAAATATTTCTAATGTTTTCAGTTGTTTCAACATTAAAAGTTGGTACTTGTGTCTAGATTCTAGATGGCTTAGGCTGTTGAGCAGTATCCTGTTTCCTATGAAGTATTGACTTCATTATCCCATCAGTTGCTGCAAAAAAACAAGTAGTAGGGAAATCTTTTAAAACTTCCTGTGATCTGATATCTGAGCATCATTTTGCAGTCGTCTTATGCTCTTAGCTACAGCGATTATATTGATGGGCCAGTTTAAGAAAAGATAGATGCAGCTTTGGTAAAATAGCCTTTACTGTACTGTGGGATTGAGTTCAATTTTTAAATATATTGATATTATGCCTTGAATTTACATGTTATTTACATCTTTCTTCTATTCATCTTTACAGTCCCCCACTTTTTGAAAATTCTGTCAAATCCAGTTTTTATTAGCATATTCTCCTGAAAATGCCAATGATTGTTTAAAAGTATTACTTAAAGTGAGTAGATAATTTGAGTTGAGGGCCACATTTGGCACTCCAGGATGAAACAATATCAAATTTGAAGTTAATTTTAATTAAAGTTAATTATATTTAGTTAATATGATTTCTCTTGTTTGTCTAACGATATCATCTTCTATCACATTAAAAATTACAATTCAGCTGCAATTCCTGAATGACTTGTAGAGCTGTATCTAAGACTTCAGATTGCGCGCCTCTATTTTATAATAAAACTTCTAAATAGAATTTTTAAAATTGGTTATAGTTCTAGATCAATATAATATAGGGCTAAGAATGTGAGCTATCATCATGGAAGTCCTTGATTGAAATCTCATCTTGGTTGTGAAATATTGTCATTCAGTACGCTCTGCTCAGTTCTGCAATATGAAAAATTATAGTCATACTGATTTGCTTTTTCAAGCACATTGTAACAATGGCCATGTGAATGGATTAGCTTAATACCAAAACAACGAGTTGGTGTTACAGAAATAAACATACTTTGCCTTCATCACATTCTGGTTTATAGCATAAAATGGTTTGCCATGATAGGTTATAGTTTAGGATTGCCCTTCAAACTAGGAATGAAAATGCAGATCAACAACTAGTGATGCTTTGCAGACCAAACACATATAATAGGGATTTACCACCAGCAAGAACAAGAAACAATTGAAACAAGCAAGGGAAGGTAGCAATACAGTACTCAAATTCAGTCTTAAAATATCAAGCCATAGGCTATTAGCATAACTTGTGAACTAGTACAGAGTATTTTTTTTCTTTTTGTTAATAAATCACATAAAATATTGTGCATATGAGATTTTAAAAACTCTTAATGCAGTCTATACAAGGTATTTTAATGAAAGGGAAAATATTTACACTAGAAGCCCCATATCACTTTGGTCTGCAATTTTATGGCCTTTGTATGGTTAAATATCATAGTTAAGAAAACAAAAGATTTTGTGTTGACTACTTGCCAAATTGTATAATAGTAGTTTGTAGCCCAGTACTTTGTCAAACCCATTATCTGAGTAATCCTATTGTATATGAATAAAGGCAGACTGATAATATTTGTTCTTGAACTGGAATCCACAAAATATATAATATGGCCTTGTTAGTACAAAATATTTTATTTTCATGAATCTTTAACCTCGCTATTTAAGCAAGCTTAAGCAAAGCAAGTTAAGCAAAACAAATATTCACTGTCTAAATGAAATTTTTAAAAAGTAAAAGCTTGTCAGTATGAAATGACAAATAAGCATGGCAGTCTTATTTATATTACAGTGGTTAAATTGTTCATAATACCTCCAGTTGTATTTTTCAAAATGCAACCAGAATAGTCATGCTTATCAGAACAACAATGGATTATCTGTTTGGCTTCCACAAATTCCACTTACAAACAGATAGAAATGTTTAGTGTTGTAAACAATATAATGCAGTATAGAAGAAAAAAATTACTGTATAATTTTATATAGTCTATAACTGTTTTCCAGATTTAGTAAACATAATTGTCTGGATCTGTGTCAAGTTTCTATATAACCACTTAATATATTTATTATATATTTATATCCAGAGATATTTAGAGAGAATATATCATAGTAAAACTTAAGAACAAGCTAGTAAATCTGCATACAACTCCAGAATTTTTTTTAAACTGCCCATTTAAAAACTCATTGGTATCAAAAGTCAGCACACTGTTTACAAGTCTCCTTATCAGATAAGTTCAACAGTTGGAGCTCTACAGAGAAGGGACTTTTTCCTGCTTACCTTTTACTTTGCTTTAGTGGAACCTGAAGGATTCCAAAAAACATTTAACATTTGTGTGGTTTATTATTGATAATATAATTGAACTATTATTTATCATATTAATGTTAATCACTTTTACATTGAGACATTCAGATAATAAATGCAGCAGTTAATACATTTTACCCTTTGTTGCACTTGTTCAAAAATTTACGGTTAGTGATGTTCTTGCTTTCTTATTAGATCCAGATTAATGTTTTGCTTCATTATGTTATGCAAATACTATTAATCTATTTTTATACAAAAAGCATAAAGATTTTTGTTTTTATTTTAAAAATTACATAAGTATCATTTTGTTGCTCTACTGTAAAGTGTCCTGCCTCCCCTCTTATCAGGGGCAAGTAAAATAGGTTTTAACTCCAAGTTGGTGCAGTCAGCTTCAGGCCATATCTCCCAAAGTAACCTTGACAGTGATTCATTTCTTTGTGTGCCAAGGACACTGTCCATGCTATGGTACACTGTACCAGTTTTACAGCATTGTCCAAGATTACAGCAGTGCAGTCTAAAACTGTTTTTCTTGGTCAAGAGCCCATCCAGTGAAGGATTATTCTTTGTTCAAGAGTTCTGAGTATACTCTTTATTCTGCCAAACACACCTAAGTATGTGTGATTCATATCAAATCCTAGTCAGATTCAGCAGGAGAAATTGCTCCACATTTATGTTCTATATCTCTAAACAGCTCCTCAGCATCAGTATAAACAGAAAGGCAGATTAGAAGGGCACAGTATAGGACTTGCAACAGAATACAGTACTGCAGTATGGAATGCTTCCACTTAAAATACCAGCCAGCTAGCCATGTCCTTTTCTGGACTATTCCATACCATCTGTTCTTCCACTCTATTTCTTCCTCTGCTCCCCACGACTTAGATCTGCAGCAGTCTTTGATCATTGAATATATTTGTTCTCATCGAGTTCATTGTTTAATTGTCTCCTCCCCTTAAATCTTTTCCTTGGCGAATCTTAGGGTTTTCCCAAGCCCATTGATAACTCATTAATGTGTGTGGATGGTGCCATTTTGGTTACACAAAGAACAGAATGAGTTTTCAGTTAGAAAAAGAATTCAAGAAGTTGATTATTTCAATAATTTCTTAACTAGCCATAAAATTGAAAGCAAAGATCAAATTTAAAGATCTCCTTTAAATTTGTTTGCCTGTATGGATGGAAATGTAGGGCTTTCAGATCTAGGCTGCAAACTTTGAGTTGTCTGTATCTCTTTGATGCCATCTAGTGGCTGGGTAGAGTTTTGCATCCCTGTTCTGCTCTTAAGGAAATGGAAATTCCTTTAAAATAATTATTTTAAAATTGCACTAAAACTAGCTAAAGGCCATGTATCTAATTAATCCAGTCTTTCATAATTTCCGTAATTGGGAGAACTGTAGTCCCTGAAAATTCCTGCCAACATTATTCAGCAGAGCTCTCTGCTTTACATTGTCTGTATGCCCCTTCAGCATTCTGTGTTCTAGGGTAGTCAGCCCCTACAAAATAGTTCACAAGGAAGGCCTGCTGGAGATAGGCATTTATTTTCTCTCTCACTGGAAATGTAAACTATCTTTGAAGAGAGACACTTTAGTTTTGCTGTATCATATAACCATTGAGCCTATCCTTTATAGGTTTGTTTAAACTAAAAAAAAGCTATGATTTCACAATATGTGTATTCATTCCCAAAATATTCTGAGTATCTTGAGTCATTACCAATTGGTTTATTAGAATTTGAAAGGAAAACTTTTTGTCTATTCACTCTGTCCATACAAATGTAAATTCTATAAACTGTTGTTAGATTCTTGGGAGGATTTCTTTTACCATCCCTGTTTCTGCCAGTTATCCATCCATAAAAGGACAGTGCTCTTATTCTATGACTGTTCACTTTCCACATGAGTTAGTGAGGGGCAGTTTGAAAAGCTAGCATTAAATGTCATTTTAGTTGGGATTATAAAGCTTAAGTTACACTTTATCATTAAAATATATTTATTCTTTGGATTTCTTTTAGCTAAGAAAACAACTTTGACATGTCCATGTAGTCACCAGTTACAGAGCTTGACTCGAAGGAGATTTTATCTTCACCTTTATATCTAGATTTCAAGTTTGATATAGAATAGATTTAAACTGTACAGTATTAATTTTTTGTAACTGCCAAAAACTAAAGCTCAGATACTTGAATATTATACCCTGTCTTACTGTTGGTCATAAAAAGAATAGTAAACGAATTACCTTTATTGAAGGGAACTTAAGTATTCTGTTACCATGCCACCATACTTTGTTTTAATGAAGCACACATAGACTTAAAAAGTGCTTTCTGCTAGATAACTTTTAGGTATGTGTCGAAAATCAGACAGAAATATATTTCATTCTGATTTTGTCTTACCCATATATGAATGTTGTCTTACCCATATATGAATTTATTTAAATTCATTATTGAATTTAGCTGCAGTAGTGTAGTTCCAATATTATAAAATTTATGTCATCTTCTTTTTAGACACGATCTTTGCTAGGTGTATTTGAAGAAGATGCTGCTTCAATTTCCAGATATATCAACCAGTTGTATAAAGCTATGCATCGAATTTATGATGCGCAGGTAAGTTGACTCTAGAATGCAGAAACTAATTAACCTTCAACCATTTCTCCAAACTTTTGTCACTGATGTAGTTATATTATTCAGTATCATGAGCATTGGAACCAAAATTTTTACCCCTGAGATTTCAATAGCTCTGTGCAAGTATATGTGAATGTGGAAAAAAAAAAAGAATGAGAAAAAAGAGAAATACAGTTTTACTTTAATATTTTCATGCTTACAAATAACATGAATACATTGCTTATAAATTCTTCAGAAGCTTCTAACAAGAACATATTTAGTTGTAAGCATTTTTATGCAAAAATCTAAGTGATTGTATGTATTGTATATTATGGTTTCATTGAGCAGGTTCTTAGTAAACCTTAATATCAAATTGGAAACCCCACCTTAAACCCTAACTGCAAGTGTCTAATTTATCTCCTGGGCAATCAACTTTTCTAAGTGCCCAACAGGTAAACTGATTAATAAGCTGATTTATGCTGATCACATGTCCCAGGATACTTCATAAAAAGGAAGTCTTTTTTTTTATCCCAGAAAAGCAGCCTTCAACCTATTGTCTTCCCTTCTAATCAGTTCTACACTGTAGTTATAATTTAAAATGAATTACTTCCATTGCCTGGGAAGATCTGAAGCAGTGTCCACACATTCATTTCAAAATTGTTAAGCTGTGAGGTTAAGATAATGTTCAGTGTGCTATTTGTGCCCTCCCTTCAGCTTCCTGTATGAAAACTTACATTTGCATGTACTTAAAAAAAAAAATCCCTCTTCTGTGGAAGTAATTTTGAATCTATATTCTGTGTAGATTAAGGATCCTGTGGGCATGCAGCACTCTTCCTTTTGTTTGTTGCCATTGCTTCCAAATTTTTAAGCACAGTTTAATTTTTGCTATTGGAGAGAGTGATGTTATTTTCTGTTTGAGTGATCGGTCATTCAGAATTCTGTGAATTTGATTACTTTTTGTTTGTTTAGCTTAAATCCATAGTTACTGCTTTAAAAGTGTATATGCTAGTCTATGACTGTAATAAATCATTCTACTTTAAAAGTGGGAAATTATAATTGTGTTATAAAAAGCATACATGTTTAAAGGATAGTAAAACATAGTTAAACTGTGATTAATTTACTTTATACTGTACTTCGGTTGTTATTTATATTTGCAAAATCTTTTTAAAATCAGAATAAAATTCTCTTTTTCAGAATGAACTCAGTGCAGCAACACATTTGACTTCAAAGCTTCTAAAAGAATATGAGAAGCAGGTATAGTCCACTTACAAAATGAAAATGTTATGTTCTGATTCAAGTTGAATGCTTTAACGTGGCAGCCTGGTTTTTACAATATATCAGAATAGTAACTGGATTCTCCAACAGGGAGAATTACAGACTATCCTAACCCGTGTTTGCCTAGTTTGTAGCATCTTACGTGAACTCTGCCCATATGTTTTAATAGTAGCTTAGCATGTAGAAATTAAATTGATTATTTTTTTCCAGTTCTTTATTTTCATAAAGCCTCATATGCTTTATTTCTGCTCAGTTCTTTCTATTAAGAGCACACATTTATTTATCTTATCACATTTCTACCCTGCCACAATCAAATGACTCTCAGCAGCCTACAAAGTATATGAGATGTTAAAACATGAACCATCTGAGTAAAACCTGAAAGGGGCCATCCACAACAACATAAAACAGAAAATAACAAATAGAAACACAGAAAAGGGAAAAAAGATAAAATTAATTGAAACTGTCATGAATAAACAAAGAAATATGTTTTATATCAAAATGGTCATAATTTAATACCATAATTTAATGAAGCTTTAATGTATATATATAATCTATCAGAATACCTTTCTATGAAGTTAGTCTGGCCTATAGGTATTTTCTATATCTTTTAAATATAACAATATAATATATATAAATGTAACAGACATTAGCAACTTACAGTGCTCCAAAATTCTCTGTTATTTTTAGCACTGTTAGATATATACATGTTATTAGACCCTTGGAATGTTATTGTGAACTTTTAGAGTGAAAAATCAATAAGGTTGGAATTTAAAAAGTTTTTTTCTTTTTTTGTAGCGCTTTCCTTTGGGTGGTGATGATGAAGTTATGAATTCTACTCTTCAGCAGTTTGCAAAAGTGATAGATGAGGTAAAATTTCCTTTCTAAATATCTATCAGCCTATTTATCTATACATGCAACTTTTATGTCACCCCATTTCTAAAGACTTTGAGCAGTGTACAGTATTAATATCAAAGACTAAAAACAGAAATAAAACCTTTATAACCAATCAGTATGAGGCATTACCATTCAGGATCTTATTACACCCCAAATGCCTTTCAGAAGACCCATTTTTTTTATGACTCTCAGAAAATGCAGCCTCCCCATATACAGAGCATTGCAGTAATCCATCCACAAAGTGACAAAGGCATGAGTAACAGTGAGTAAAGGCTTCTAGTTCTGAACAGTCCATAGTTGGTGCACAAGTTGTAACTTAGCAAAAGTATTTGCTGTTCAGACAGGAGCCATAAGTCCAGAAGGACTGCCAAGTTGCATGTCAGCTCCATCTGCAGAAGCACTACTCCATACAGAATCAAAACTGGACTATCTTTGTACTTGGCTTCCAAATCCAAGCTGCCTTGGCTCTAAATTTGTCTTAATAGGATTCAGTCTAAGTATGTTTCTCTCTGTCCAGGCCCTAGCAGCCTTCAGACACAAGGTCAGGAGTTCTACCACAACCCTTGTCTGGCCCAGGATGGAGATCCATATTTGGAAATCATCAGAATATTCATGATACCCTACTCTGTTAGCATATGACTTCTCCCAGCAGCTTCATGTAGATGTTAAATTGTAGGGAGGAGGATTGAACCCTGTGGCACCCCATAACATAGGGCCAGGGGCTTGACTTTTCCCTACCCACCATCACCAACTAGAATTGGCCATTCAGGAAGAACAGTGCCTTCAATCCTCAACTGTCATAGTTGGCCAAGGAGGATACCATAGTCACTGCTGTTGAGAAATCCAACAGAAGCAGAATAGTTGCAGTCCCTCCATTCTGGTCCTGCCAAAGGTAATCAACAGGAATGACCAATACAATTTTGGTCTGATGCCCAGACCTGAATCTGGACCAGATAATCTGTTTTATCCAGGGCTTTCAATAACTGTAGTCCCACAACTTTTCCTAAAAGAAGTTTGGAGACTGATGACAGATATGTCCAATTGCTGAGTCAAGTGATGGCTTCTTGAGGAGGTGACACACCACCACCTCTTTCAAGGCAGGAGCACCACCAGTTCCCTGAAGGATATAGTTATCATCGCCCACACCCAGCCTCTGTCACCTCCCTGGCTGTTTTCACCAATCAAGTGGGGCAGGAATCTAATCTACAGGTTGCAGAGCTAATAGCATGGAGGACCCTGTTTACTTCCTGAGGATCCACATGCTCAAACTGATCCCAGATAACGCCACAAGAAGAAACCTCTATCAACTCTAACAAATGTACAGTAGTTCTGTGTTAACTATGACATTGTTTTTTTTTTAATTTTTAAGCTAACATTGTCACAAATCACAGTGAACCTGTTCACACAATACAAATGTCTCAGCCATCCCTGTTCAAGTTAATTGGATGGTGATCGGTAATGCTGTAACCGTGTTTACAGTCTTCCCACTTGCCACAAAGAAAGCTGGGAGGCTGTCACTTCTCCCCACTTCTTGAACTTTTGAATTTTTCCCCCTTTTATGGGTGGAAAAAAACCAAAAACTCTTATAGTGGCATGGTTGGAATTGGTTTCACCTCCAGTAGGTTCAAGAAAGTTGTATGTGCTCCAGTTATATTTCTGCCTCTTCTTCATATCTTCCATGTGGCCATGTGGAGGTTGAAAACAAATAACCACAGAGATGGAGTACCAAGAGAGGCCCATTTTTGAAAGCCTCTAGGATTTTGTCTTGATCAGAGACATCAGGAAGGATAGTGAACCTTTTGGTAATTAATGGGGTGAGTTACAATAGTTGGCTGGGTGAGTGGAGTTAGTTTAACTAAACAAGTCTATATTTTTTACTCTAATGCTAACCATCTCAGGGTAAATTGGTACAGGAGGCACAACACCCTTTCCCACATCACCCTTTAAATGTGATATGCTTAAATAATTTTTTTTCATATTGTATTGTATACAATGGTAGGCCAAGTCAAGGAACAGACAACACAAGACTGCTAGAACTCTGCTTTATTGTTATAGGATATAATAACAGATTCTTGAAAGCTTGTCAGAGTTTCCCTCTGCCCCTGTTATACCAAACAGAATGAAGGAAGGATTATCTTGAGTTTTTTCCCCCCCACCCCCTATTCCTTTCCAGGGCTAAGTTGACATTTACTTAATGGTTCTTGCATTCCTTCTTCAAGACTATCTTCATACTTCTATGCACCATGATGAGTTTTGGCCCTCTTGACATTCATTCATTCATTCATTCATTCATTCATTCATTCATTCATTCATTCATTGATTGATTGTATAAAATTTGTTACCACCCATCTCATGAAACGACTCTGGGCAGTTTACAAGATAAAAAAATCATTAAAATACGTTTTCCTTTCTTTTTCACAAGACGCTTCATTTTTTAGAAGTTCTCCCTTTTGTAGATTTTGCTGACAGTTGCAGTTTTCTGTTTGCATGTACAGTATGCTGTATGAGATAGTATTATGGTCATTGTTTCCTGTCAGTTCCACAATACTTAAACCCTAGTAAACCCTTACAATCAAATCTAGGCTTTCCTCCCATGTTCTAATGATGTTCCATCATCATTATGATCTCTCTGCCATAACCTGAACACAGACGTACCTAGTTTATATGAGGGCAATCAAAGTTCCCCATTATTACAAGAATTATAACATTATTCTTTGAGGATTTCTAGCATTGTATTGAAACAACTGTGCACCCTGTACCTTTTTTATTTTTTTAAAGTTGGCGGCTTGAATCTTTTTCATGGCTGTTTTGTTCCCATTTTATCTTCTGGCTGCCATGACCACCCAACATCTGGCTCAACATTTGCCCTAATTTTTATTATTTTTTTTTAAATGTTTACACCATTCTGATTTGACTGCTACCCATTACCTGTTGATTTTCTCCCAAGAATCAATTTAAAAACCAGTCTCTCACTTTTAGATTTTATGTGCCAATAGCCTGGTTCCCTTTTATGCAGGTTTGGTTTGTTCTGAAATGTTCCCCAGTGTCTAACAAATCTGAGTACCTCCATCTGGTGCCATCATGCCATAATTGCATTGAGATCTCAGAGCTCTGCCTATCTAGTTGGTTGGACATGTGGAATAGATAGCTTTTCTGAGAATGCTCCCTTGGTGTTCCTGGTTTTTTTTTTTTTAATAATTGTTATTAAAGATTCCATTACACAGATAAAACTAATACAAGCTATAAAAAAGAAGAAGAAAGCACAGGAAAGGGGGGAAAAAAGAATGTTTTTAAAAAAAGAGAAAAAAGAACTTCCCCCTTTGTCCTAGCAAGTATATACAACTTTAACAACTTATCACCATCTCTTGAAATAGAACAAACAAACAATCTCTTCATCCCATATCCAACCTCATTCTTTAAAGCCTCATCATCCATCAGCAAAAGTCCATTAAGGATTATGAGACCTATCCACAAAGCAATTAAAGTTAATCTAATAAACCCACTTAAATGTCTTCCTTTTACATTTATATCTCATTTTCTTTTTTTAAACAAATCCCCCAAACCTCATCATTCAAATACAATCTGTAAAAATCCAATAGAAGTTACCAGAGATAAGAAATTAACTATTTTAACCTTAATCAAATGAAATTAAAATTTAACAAATAACCTCTTATCCATATAACTCTTTATCTATAAAACAAACCTTAAAACATCATCTTCCAGTCCTAGTCAGAAGAAATCCATTAAAAATTGCCAAAAATAGCAACTTATCTATTTCAACCTTGGTCAGATAAACCCACTTTATAGTCCTTCCCCTTTCTCCCAGCAGTCTTAGTCTTAGATCCCTTCAAATAATATCCCAACACTTGATTTCTTTTCATTTTCTCTTTGTCACTTCTCACCAAGTCGCTGACAACATTAACTCCCTTTTGTAAATCCAATATAAAAAGGTTATGCAAGTCGCTCTTCTGGTCTATTATTGATTTGTCCTTTTTAGTTAATGAGAACATCAGTCGATTTCATTTGTAAAATCAGTGTTTCATCTTGTTTCATATCCTTCTTGTAGTCTATCATTTTTAAGTCCACATTTCCAATTTCATTTTTGTCCAGTGAAACTTGCTCCTCTTCCGTACCATTATCTGGTCTATCAAAAATAGCAGAAGTAAAAATAACTTTTGAAATATTTGTTCACACAAATCTCTCAATACATCCATTATTTATTTGCTTCTGGTGTCTGCTAGTGTTCAATCTTCAAAGTCTCATCTTACCAACTTGTTTATCTTCCGAATACAAAAACCTGACTAGTTTCCCATGGGAAGGATTCTTATATTTAATTTCCAAATTATAATAGATCCTTCTGGACCCTTAGTCCATTTTAACTTTCTAGAAACAAGCCTCCAGTCACTCTTGCTGTTAATTAAAAAAAAAAAGATATTAATTTTTTAAATCCTTAAACTCATACTTAAAACTTCTTTCATAATGGTTTGAAGAAAACTCAGTGAATACCATAAAACTTGCCATTCTGCAGGTTCTTAGTATTTAAGAAACAATTTAAAAAAGTAATTCTGAAGTGATTAAGAAAAGATGATCAGCCAAACTTTGAGTCCAAAAAAGGCTACGTTATGCCTATGAGCTCAGATGGAATCCCTCAACTCCCAGCCGCTCTGCTCATCAGCTGACCGCAAAAATGTCTGTTCTTGCAGTTTACTTGTGAGGAATAGCTGCCCGAAGTACCTGCAGGCAATCTCAAGATCTCTCCTTTCTCTGGAGAGATTTTGCTGGCTTGGATCCTGCATCCGGCCGCAAATTTCAGCTGTAACATGAGTCCCCTTTTTCCAGGGTTGTCTTCAGTTTGCCATGTCCTCAGCGGAAGTGTTCCTGGTTTTTGATCTGCTACTTAGGAGTCTAAATTTGGCTTGCAGAACTGGCTCATTATACATTCCAATGTCATTGCTGCCAGCCTGGGCTGTGATTGCTGCCTCTTTTCCACCATTACCAAGCAGGTTCTATAGATGACACATGATATCCACAACCTTCAAACTAAGCAAGTTGTCAGCCCCACTAGATAGACCAGGCCAGAAAATCAACACTGCATGAAGATAAGAACTATACTTTATTGAGATAGGTTATAATAATAGAATCTTGCAAGCCTGATTTTACTTTACCTCCTCTTCTTCTTGTATCCCAGTGAATCAGGGAAGAGCTTGCCTGGGTCTTTTCCATATACTATCTTGCTTCTCAGGACTTAAGGAATGTTCAGCCCTATTTGCTTATGTAACAGTTCTTGCATATTGCTGTCAAGGTCATCTTTCTTTCTCTCTGCTCAAGCAGTACACATGTGATGTACACTCCCCAACAAATCATTTTGTGAATGGCATAATCCTAATGGTAGGCACCAACCCTTTCTTAAAATCCTCCAAAACTTTTGGGATGTCAAAATAAAGACATATTTATTCTGTCCAAAAGTCAGGATTGTAAACCAAAGTTAAATCATAGTTTGTTTGGATTGGCTTATTTGTGTCTTGTTTGAATGTAATAAATTACTGCATCAGACAAAAATAATGCTAGACCATATCTGTTTTGTTTATCCGCTTGTGCAAAGGAAAGAACAGATAAAACAAATCAGGGTGTGCTGCTTGCTCACACTGTGGTTCAGTTAACTTTTTTTCTTATTGTTACACACACATGCAATAACAGTTAAACATGAGAAATGTTTATGTTTTTAGGCAACATTGTGTGCTTAATTGGTTTTTTTCCTCCTCAGCTCAGTTCTTGTCATGCAGTACTATCAACTCAATTAGCAGATGCCATGATGTTTCCCATCACACAGTTCAAAGAAAGAGATCTAAAAGGTACAGTAATTCTTGTCACATAGATCACAGATTGCTGGCACAGTAACTTATACAACAGTTAATATATTTTCCGTTTATAGTAGACTGCTGAAGTCTAGTGCAAATCTAAGAACATTTGTCTCATTGAAATCAGGTTTTTTTTAATTGTGCAGTTTGGGCAAAAGGGAATGATAAAAGTTGGAGGTGTAAGTGATGGCCCCCCAGAAGTTGCTGAACTTCAACTTCCAGCAATCTCAAAGCAGTATGACCAATAATGGGAGATACTGGGAAAAATAGTGAGCAAACCTGGAGTGCTGTACATTGCCAATCCCTGATATATCACTGCAATCTATGAAAATTCTAGTAAACGTGTGTTTGTAGGTCATGTGCTCGTGTAAGAGGTGAGAGTGCTTTTATGAATGTTTATATATATATCAGTAAAACTGATAATATAATAAACTGATTGCACTTAATAAAAATGTTCATTTAGTTTATTTATTACTTCAATGTATGTAGCCATTTAAGGGTCTGAAAAATGGGGTAAATAAAATACACTGAGTGGCTGTACTGTTTGGCCCCCCTGGGTGGGGACGTTTCCATCATTGCTCTTGGATGGAGTTGCATTTCCTCATTCAAGACTGGTGCTCAACTTGGGGGCCCTCCTGAACTCCTAGCTCCTGCTGTGTCCAGGTGAGCCTTTGCACAAGTTTATTTTGCGTGCTATTTGCACCCTTCCTTAACCAGGAGGCCCTTCAGATGGTCCCTTATGCCCTGGTTGCCTCAGGATTGGATTATTGCAATGTGCTCTACATGAAGCTGCCCTTGAAGATGATCCAAAAGCTACAACTGGTACAAAATGCAGTGGCGTGTGCAGTAACAGGCATCTCATGTTACACCCATGTGTCACTGCTGCTATGTGAGTTGTAGTGGTTGCCAATGGCTTTCTGGGTGCAATTCAAGGTGCTGGTTGCCATCTGTAAAGCCCTTCATGGCATGGGGCCTGGTTATTTGAGGGTCCATTTATCTCCATTTGTTTCTGCCTGTCCAGTACATTTGGGCAGCATGGGTACGCTCCAGAACATGTATTAATAATCTGTGTGTATTAAGCCTCTAGAAATGTGAGCAGTAACCCTATATACATTTTACTTAAGTATTGGGATTAAACTTGGGTACAATTGTATGGCTATTATTTTTTGACCTATGGACTGCATTAGATTATTAAAAATTCTCTTTATCTTTTCTCTGCCCAAACCCTCTGAATCTCTCAAAAAACTCATATAGTTAGGTGAAGAGTTCTGTCATAGCAGGTTTACAACCTTAATGACATGGTATTTACAGGAAAGCCCCTGACTTTTGGGAAAGGCTTTGCAGGGAAGTATAGGAGAGTAGAGGGGAAGAAAAACCACAAGCCATTGCCCACTTGCACAGCCACTGGATACAACCCTATAATTTTAGAGAACGATTTTCTCGTTATAAAGTGGGTTATGTGGTCCCTGAAATGTAGGCCAGCTGAAGCCTTGTAATAAATGAATCAAGTCTTGTTCAGCTTACATTAAAACAGCAAAACTACATTAACACTTTGCATTTTCTTAAATTCATTTCAGAAATTCTGACTTTAAAAGAGGTTTTCCAGATCTCCAGCAATGGTAAAGATGCTTTAGAAATTAATTTCATGGTTTATTTGATGTTGCATGATTGTAATATTGTAAACAGTAAAGTTTTATGAAGAGATTTCTGTCTCCAGAGACTAATTTTGATATTTAAAAAAAGCTATTTGTCAACCTAAAAATTAAAGGGAAACTAATCCTAGGTAACTTTATACAAAGTAGTTGAAAAAAAAAATTACGATTAATAAACTCTTGTTCCAATGAAACATTGTAAAAAAGCGGATGTCTTGTTGATAAAATCAGTACATCAGAAAAATAGATTTTGTTTATCTTGAAATGATAAAAATATTTCTGAAATTATTGGAAACAGATGTTTGTCTATTTCTAATAAATTGAATATTGGTGGAAAAAGCAAACTTAACCCAATTGCCTGAATATCTATGGTATTTAATATATGTACAATAAATTAATAGTTTATAAAATTAAAATAATTTTTAATATTTACAGCATTCTCTTTAAATTAAAAAAAAAATAAAAATATTGTGGGATGTTAAATACTGAAGGCTAGCTTCTTTTTGCCTTAAACACTTATAATGTTTGTAGCTACTACTTAAATATAGTAGAACTTGTTTTTTCAGATCATGATGCTGCTATTACCAGATATAGTCGACTGTCAAAAAAAAGAGAGAATGAGAAGGTTTGTGAAAATTTAATTCAGCACTTAGATTTCATGTTACAGAAATGTAACATGTCAAAGTTGCTTTTCAGGTACCTTAAAAAGTATGTGAGGAAAAAAACCCTTTTCTCCTTCAGCCGTCCAGTGAATGCAGTTAATCTTTCATGGAACTATAGTTCAGCTGCATGTTTCTGTATAGTGTTATCACTGCCTTAATTCAGTGGGATATCCTTCCTATATATCTTCCCCAAACTCCTCTCTCTCTCTCCCTTTATCCTTCCCTCAGTAATGTAATTTTGCCAAGCAGTTTACACAGTCCTGCGGAAAAAACAAAACACATTCTAACAGGGACTTTTTTAAAAAGTACTTTTCACAAGTACTTTTAAGATTGTAAATCTGTACAAAGTGGGTAGGAGAAGAGAAAATGTATATATATTTTTTTAATGTGAATTTATATTTTTTCAGATAAGTGCAAGGAAATTGTTCCTTTTAATGGTAAACTGTGCTTGCCTTGAATTAGAATGTTTTTTCCAGGTCAAATATGAAGTTACAGAAGATGTATATACTTCCCGGAAGAAACAACATCAGACTATGATGCATTATTTCTGTGCATTAAATACACTACAGTATAAGAAGAAAATTGCTATGTTGGAACCCTTGCTAGGCTATATGCAGGCTCAAGTAAGTTCCAACATGTGGTAGAGGGGAGATTTCAGAATATTACATTACAGTATTTTTGAGCATTCCGAGTATTCTTAAATACTAGCAAACCTAATCATAAACTTTGTGTGAGATGGGCGGCCGTATACATTTGCTGTATATATCTATATAGAGAGAGAGATATACATATACATATACATAAACTTGATCTGAGCCAGATAAATCAGGAGGACTAAATTGTTAAACTCTGGGGAAAAGTAAGCATATAGGTGTAATTTGTTGATAGAAAAACATAACTAATTATAAGTATGTTGTAATTGAACTGGTTTATGATCTGTATCTCTACAAAGTTGCATTATGTTTTTAACCTCCGAAGGAAGATCTAAGATTAGATGTATGTTTGTAAGTTCCAAATAAATTGATAAGTATCTGAATTCTCCTTTTTGAAAGATAAATTTCTTTAAGATGGGCTCAGAAAACCTTTCTGAACAGCTGGAAGAATTTTTAACAAATATCGGGACAAGTGTGCAGGAGTAAGTTCATTTTTTTTCTTTTAAAAGTAATGCTATTTCTTTTTAAATATTACATGTAGTTAATATGACTAAAATGAAAAAAAAAATGACCTATGGGTTTAGCGTTCGCAGGGAAATGGATCGTGAAGTAGAGACGATGCAGCAAACTATAGAAGACTTGGAGATAGCCAGTGATCCGCTCTATTTACCAGATCCTGATACTACAAAATTTTTGGTTCAAAGAAATCTTACTCGCAAGGCTGGTTATCTTAATGCAAGAAAGTAAGAACCAATTTCAGATACACATAAGCTTTAATAGCCTGAATTGTAAATTACAGGGGTCTTGCAAACTGTGTTGTATGTAAAAATAATTAAACTTTTTTTATCGTTGTTCCCAACTTCAATTTTTTAGATTTAAAATAATGTTCAATACCAACCAGGATACTATACTGATTTGTCATTAAATTCATGATCTTGTTTACAATGTTTCATGGCACAATATGTTATAATTTAACTTGTCTCAGTAGTTTCACTAGAATCCTCGGAAGTGATATATCCACATGGGAGAACAGCTGCTCCTTCATTTGTTATTTTTGTTGCAGCAGCTCCTCTCCGAAAGAGACAGGCTGTTGTGCAGCTTTAAAAGCAGGTTGCATCTCTCTCTGGAATGTGATTACTCATTTTGTTTAGATCTCTTCTTGCCTCCAAAAAGCTCAAGGGAGCGCTAGTGATCTCCCCCATTTCATCCTCAGAACAATTCCATGAGTGAGTCTAGGGTTGTTGGCTATTCCAATATTACTCAGTGAGCTTCATTGCTACATAGCAACTTCATCCTGGTCCCCACGTTAATCACGTCTTAACTCCTATATGAATTTTATTTTCTAATATTACTTTAGAACATTAGGATCAGCAGGAGATACTAAATAAAGTAGCAATAGAAAATAAAAATTGTTTGCAAGTAATACTGCTTTTTTGGGTCACAGCATTATAATATTTCATTTTCTTGAAATTATTGCCAGTAGAAACAGCAAGCATAACATAGTTTTCACCCATACTTTTACTAGTCTTCTATACATTTTTTCACTATCTGGGAAGTATATTTATCATCTCCTTGAACATCTGGGGGGAGCTGTACCCGAGCTCCATAAATACTGGGAAAATTACAACTTTGCTGTGTAAATGCAGACACTAATCTGCAGCTGGTTACCTGCAGTTTGACTACAGGTGTGCTGTTGAGTAAGAATGTAAGGTGGCAGCACCTTTAAGCTATCTTTAGA